ACAGCCAGCTTACCATGCACTGGCACATGGATCTACTTCTCCAGGGATCCTGGGACTGGCATGTAGATCTACTTCTCCAGGGGCCTGGGGATTGCAGGCCTGGCATGCCAATGCACGTTCAGAGGATGCAGTCCCCAGTGCGGACAGTTTGGCTGGGTAGGGGCCCAGTTCTCTCTGTACATGGGCACATTTATAACTATCTTTATGTGAGCCGTCTCAGCAGGGCGTGTGGGAGAAGAGGCAAAAGATGGCCCCAGTGTGCCATCTCAGGACTGGCGTCATTTCAGCGATGGGTCACTCAAGCCCAGAGTGCTAGGGTACCTGGCCAAAAGCTGCTGAATTTGTTTTCTTGGATGAGATGTCTGGGGTATAAAAACAGACAATGCAGAGGCACAGCAGGGACAGAAGTTTACCAACTTTTTACACCTGGCCAATCTGCTTGAAATCACAGAAAATGAGGGTGGAAAGGACCACAGGCGGTCATTAGATAAAGAGTGCTGTCACCAGGAGAATTTAAAAGGCAGGTTTCTCTTAGTGGGGAAAGGACCAGGCTATTAAGAACAGGATATCAGGTCATGTTTCTCAACAAACCAGTGTTACATCATCTGGAGATAGTGGTAATCACACACTGTGCTTTGTGAAACAAATTAGCTTCGTTAGCACACTGTTTTGGCACAAGCAGGAGCATGCAATTTATGAGTTAGCAGGGCAGGTTGTTTGCTAATGATTTTCCAGTGACTCTTACCTCAAACACCCTATTAAAGCTTAAATCTCATTTTACATGAAGCAAAATTAAGCTGCAGACTTAAGCTGCTGTGTTAATTCTGTTTGTGCTGACTACTATTGCACAGCAAATATTTTTCCTCAAGTATTGTATTTTGCTGAAAACAAACCAACCAAACAAATGAGCAAAAAAAATAACATAAAAAAACAAAGCAGGGAAAACGTTTAAGCTGTAACTAAAGATGATCGCTTGCTGATAGTATGAGCAAGTGACAAGTTTAGACAGAGCACCTGGAAAGGGACAATGCCGCCCAGAACAATATTTCCTATTAAATGTCATGGAAGCCTTCCCATCCCACTTACTGCCCCGAAAATCAGTCGCGGGGGAAGGCACTGAAACAAGCTTGTGATCCGTCAGTGGGAACCATATTAAAAAGAGAATGTGTTACATTTTCGTAATTCTTCTTTGGTTGGATTCAGCTCCAGGTCAGTACCCAGATTTCTGATTCATGCTTTATAAATATGATCAGTGTTGTCAGATCAATTCTACCTCATTAGCATCCATGAAAAAATAGTATTGGCAATTTAAAAAAAAAACCCACAAAAGCAAAAATTATTAATTAGCATGCTGTGGATATTTCAGGTAATGGTTTGAGTCAGCAGCAAAAATGCAAGTGTCTAGATTTCAGGGGAAGTGGCTGGATGGCCACCCCCACAGAGCCGAGTCTATGCACATGTAAATTGGAGATGGGCTGAAGTCTCTGGAAATAAGCAAATATTTGGGCTTTTGTCCCATTTCTCAGCTCTCAGTTGAGAGTGCTGTGCAAAACCCCTCACTCCATCAAACCCCTCATCTGGGGGAATCGTTAACCCAAGTGTGATCCACAGCTCAGATGAAGTCAAGAGGAGCCTCTCTCATCCTCTGCAATGGGCTGTGGCTAGGACCCATCATCTATGTGCTTTAATAATGTTTATTTGCGTTGATTGATTTGCTCAGTTCAAAATGATTGCGTCCTGTCGGCTTACATCTAATTTAATCTACCATAATTGACTACACCGGCAGCTGGAGAAATTCGGTGCAAACGCAGTTAGCATTTAATTATTGCGCTACTGTTTAGAGAGCTCACATCAATGTCTCACAGAATTAGGTTCTTATCTCTAGAAGGCAGAGTCTTGTCAGGCTGACCTCGTATTGCATAGCACCTTCTCCAGAAACAGTCGCACTTTCCTGAATGAGGATACCAAAAGTTGGGTCACAGGGTCAACCCCCTCCATGAAAGTATAGAAAAGCAATAGAAATGCTGGGATCAAATACAACTCATGAGGAATCGTTTCACTGAGCACAGAATCCTATCTGCGCCGTGCTTTTCCACCGGGGGAGTTTAATCCATATTTTTGGCAGCTAATTGGTAAAAGAGGATGGTAATATCCATGGAACAGTGGATTTGCTTGTGATCCAATTACATGTAGGACATGCTGGATAGTTTGGTTCTAATCAACCTATAAGCCCTGCAATGTAGAGCAACTTTGTATGGGAAAGGGTGGCTATTAATATTATTGTTGGCAGACAAGTTTCTTTGGGTCAGTGTGACCAATTAATTTAGTTATCTTAATACAAGATATCAGATTGACCCAAAGAACCTTGTCTGCCTGTATCCTTAGACCAACATGGCTACAACCAATACCCCTGAAACATTATTATTACTATTACTATTAGCCATGCTGTGAGTGCAGCCAACACATGATTGGGCTGACTAGACTGTCTTGTGAATTTAAATCATGCTTACGTGCTCCCCTGAACTCATCAAACCTTGCCTGCCTATGTTTGTAAGTGCATCAAACAATGAGGAAGAACCTGCTCGGTCCTTGCCTGCACGCAGGTAAATGTAGGAAATCTCTTGTGTAATTGCACAGGCTTTGACTGAGTAAATACTCCATTACATAAAAGGAAAAGTCTGGCCTTATCGCTGAAACTTGAGAGGCAAGGACATTTAGAGAAGCACTCTCAGAACCTAGGAAAGCCATGAGCAATCACACACGGCACGACCTGGCTAATCTAGAGCTAGTCCAAATCCCCCAGAACAAGCCCCAGGTCCGGCCCTGCCCACGCACCTAAGGCTGGCTGCTTTTCCCCTTTAGCGTGCGTCCCTTTTTGGAGAAGCACTCATCATTTCAGCACGAGGTGGATTCCACCGTGGAAGTCCGGCCAGGCTACCCAGCCTTCCCCGAGGGGAAAGTAATACCACGCATGCCGAGGGCATGGTAGACCAGGATTAGGACGCCCTGTTTGCAGCAGTAGGATAGGAGCACATTTTGCTGGGAGTGCTCTCGAGTCCTGCTGCTGGCTTCTCCCCTGGGGTCAGAGCTGCTACGGGGCAGGTCAGTGCGCGACGCGCAGGCAGCCTTGGCCAATGCCTCTGGGCTCCTACAGAGCTAGTTGAGGTGCTACCGTTTGCTTTGAGTTTGTACTGTTTTTAATCCGTCCCTGAGGATTGCCCCCGCGATATCTAGATGCAGACTCACTTAGCCCTGCCAGATCCGCCCTGATGGTCACAGCCAACTACGGGGGGACCAACACTGGCAAAATCCATTTAGCACGTTTTCAGAGTGCCTCTGTGCCTCGGGACCTGAAAACTCCCTGGACAGTGTCCAACCCGAATGCAACCTGCAGCATTGCTCTCCATGGCTTTCCGCCTTGCTAGGGGTCCTCTGACAGCAGGATCAGCAGAGACAGGACTGACCTCAGAGCCTAACTTCCGTTCCTGTTTGCTAAGTTTTAGCCCCAAGCCCTGGGGACTCCAGAGAAATTGGGCTGCATTATTTTATTTTTTTTCTATAAAACACATCAACATCTGCACTCTTCTCTCGTAGGTTTTCTAGCACTGCTCAGTTTAACTGTTGTGAACCCCAGCCCCGTGGCAGAAAATGCACCAGAGCACACGGTAGTTACCACCATCACCGTCACCGCATCTCCTCCCGGTTCATTCGTTGGAGAGCCGGTTATTGCGAATGCCAGCCCAGTCGTGCATCCATTTATCATCACCCCCAAAGCTTCAAATCAATGGGAAGTAAGTGTGTCCCAAGCATCTAGTCATGCCCCACAACAAGCGTCTCTCGTTTAAAGCACAGAGCAACAATTCTGCCACCTGGCACACGCTGACCACCTCTTTGCAGCTGTAAAAGACCAAAGCAACACATTAAACTGCCTTTTTAGAAGCAACAAGTTCAAAACCTCTGCTGCAAGGAGCCGTCATCTGAATGAACACAGAAACACGCACTGGTCATGGTCACACTTGCTTTAGAAAACAGGCTGCCAATAATCTGCTGAAGCATCAGTGATGATAGTAAACGATCCCGTTAAATATATGGTGCAGTGAAACTGGGTATCCATACAGAGAACAGAGCAAATTACCCTTGTTCGGGTTTATCTTGCCATTTTGCAAAGGGTTAGAAAGTTAAATCTACCTTCCTATTTCTGCATTATTCCATCGTTACCCATTGTTGAGCTTCCTTCCTTCCTTTGCTTGTTTGTGTTAAAATTATTCATCTCATTGAGGAGGGGGGGGGAGCTGGGCAGTCAGTCTGAGGCGAGAGTAGCAATTTCACAGCAAAATAACACTAAAGGACTGAAACACAGAGATTACATAGATACATCAATGTAAATGAGACAAGCAGCGTTCTGGTTATACAATTTTCAAATTGCTACCTGTCCATAGCTTTGACTGTGATTAGCTACAGAAATGGCACAGAGTACGTAATGAGCAGATACACTGAGGATGCTGGTTTGAGGTCTAATCCTGTTCTCATTATTCTCAATGGTAAAAATCTCATTAATTTTTCCTGGTCCCGTGTGTCTACTCTGCTACTGTATTTGCCACTGGCTGTGTGCGCAAGCTGGAAAGACAATGCAATAAAGCAGCCTGATTTTACGTGCCCATAATTCATTTTTTAAAACATTTCCCTGGCCCTCCTGAGGGGCCAGATAAAAAAATGCAGGAGATCAAGGGTTTATAAGCTCTAGCGTTTTGTGCTAATGAGCACATTTTATTCTATTTCTGTAACGTTTTCCTCTCTTGGTCCCAGCTAACGATGACAACACTGCCCGAGCTGGATTTTGAAACCGTGGCGCTTTACTCGCTTGTGATACTGGTGAAAGACATGGTGGGGAGATCAGCTTCTCAGACGATCGCCGTGCAGATTTCCGATGTCAACGAAGCCCCCTTCTTCACCGGTGCCCTAGCTCAGCCCGGCCGAGGTACAAAGCACTCGCGCACCTAGCATTCAACAGGCATGGGTTGCTGGATCCGATCCCGATCTTGTCTTAGCACAAGTCAGCCCGAGAGTTACAGCACCGAATTCGAGACTGGGCTCATTTAATTTCTGTCTTGCAGTGATGGAAGTGTGGGTTGCAGAGGACACCTTAGCACATACCGTCATTTATACAGCCATAGCCCAGGATCCAGAAGAAGAGGCCTTGAAGGTAATTTACAGTCATAGATGGGGAAAAAAAGTTAGTGGGCTTATGGCAAAGTTACTCAAATATGTCTGTAAATTAAACAGATCCACTGTGCTTGCTGAGACACTGTCATCGCTGGCAATGCCCCGTGACTGCAGCATTCATCCACAAGTATTTTGGGGCCTTCTGACTGGCAGCCCATGTTGTGTGGCATTGGATGGGGTCTAACAACTAAGGGCCTGGCTGTGCCCCACATGCCTCATGTCCTGCCATGGTCACAGAGGTGGTTGGCCTGAAGTCAGGCAGAAGGCAGAGCAGGGTGGCACCTTAGATACTAATTAGTTCAGAGAGACATGAGCATTTATAAGCAACAACCTGCTTCATCAGACATTGTCTATGAAAGTGTGGCACCTGCCCTGCCTTCTGCCACGAATTCAGTCCAACCCCCACGGGACGGAAAGGTCACTTTTATTTACAAATTGCCCTTAGACCCCGAGTTCTGTGTGAGGGGTGAAGCGACGTCTGCTTTGTTATTTCCTGCTGGGTTGGAAGTGCTGGCTGGATCAGTACCCTGTTACAGATAGCCGTGTAAATGTTTGCCAGGGGCACCTGGAAACGAGGACAGGCACCACCTACATAACACCACCACTCACACTATTATCTTCCAGGGCTTGACCTTACAGCACTTTGGAAAGGGTGTCGCAACTGTTATCCCAACATTACACATGGGGAAAAGAAGGTGACTTGTTCAGGCAAAGATCCCCGGGGCAGGACCCAGGCCTTGGTGTCCCAACCTCCCTGTTCTGCCCATAAGACAACACAGCCTGCAAAGCGTCTAGATACAACACCTCAAATCGAACCCGCCCCCGCTGACCTGGGAGCTAACCCTAAGTCTAAGAGAAGACTTAAAGAGGCTCCAGGAGCCCACTGAGAGGTGACTTAACTGGGCTTCACTTGAGGCACGTCTCCCTGGCAGGTGGATGTGTCAGGGTGCTAGAACCGGAGCGATCAGATCCTAACAGAGCATGTTTTATTTGAAGATGCTACAGAAAAAAATAATTAGTTGTGTTCCTCATCAGAAGGCTAAACAATTACACAGTAGTGAATGATCCTGCAGCCATGCCTGTAATTAAGGAACTGTTAGCATTTTAATTATAAACCGCAATCTTCAAAGGCTGACACAGTTTAGCTATAAAACAAACACGCTGACAGCTCCTTCGCTATAGAATAGAAATTAAACTTCAAAGTTTTCGGGGGGAGGAGAAGGGAGATTATGGTGTAGGCCTTGTTTTTGTTTTTTTTTAATTTCTTTGGAGAAATTTGGGCTCAAATCATTGTGAAGTGTTTGGAGAGAATATTTTCCAAGAACTGATTCAGACCAACCTTTTTTTTTTTTTTTTTTTTTTTTGTGAACTCCCGCGGCTCCTTTGAAAGTAGGACGAGGCCTATTCTGCTCTGGTTTACAACTGTGTAAATGAGAGTGTAATGAGAGATTCACAGGACAGAAGCCAAATTTAGGGATTTGAAAACCACCTTTGTTTACGCATAAAAACAGCAAGGAATGGAGCTCAAATCCACCGTACGTCATGGGTGTAGGTTGTAGCCGTGCTGGTCTAAGGACACAGGCAGACCAGGTTCTTTGGGTGGATGTGATCTCTTTTATTAGACCAACTCAAATAGTTGGAAAAATTCTTCTTTGCAAGCGTTGCAAAGAAAGTTTCTTTCTTCTTTTCCAGGTTTGGAAGGAAGCTTTCTTTGCAACGCTTGCAAAGAAGAATTTTTTCCAACTATTTGAGTTGGTCAAATAAAAGAGATCAGATTTCCCCAAAGAACCTTGTCTGCCTTACATTATGGGATATTTTGCTCTTTCTTGCCCCCTTTAGTTGGAAACCCTCCCCCCAGCACAAGACCTGACCCTACAGCTGTCACTGACTCCACGGCTGAGAAAGTAAACGAAGCGAAGGTCATAATGATAGTTTGGCTTTGGTACCTTTAAGCTTGGTTAGACAATTGTTCTGAGCAGATCCGAGCGCAGGGTCCTGAGTTCAGCAGAAGTCTAATGGAGCAATAACAGACCTATGCACATGCTCAAGTGTTGTAGGCCTCAGCTCACATGTAAACGGGTTACAAATTAAGTGTGCTGCCAAAGCACTTGCTAGTTCATCCACAAGATGGCAAAGTAGTTCATAACATACAGTAGCCAATCACTGCTAGTCGCAGCGGTCACCGTTTCCACCGAACCTCAAGTGGACACATACTTCCGTGCTCCTTTGCGATTTCCCATCTTCAAAAGGCCTTGTGCAAGTTTTAATATTCAAATCACCTCTCAATTCCCATAAAAGAGCTTGCATTTGATTGTTACGCAAAATTAGAAATACATTCAAATGTATTTGTGGTGTTCAAAACCAAACAACTCCCCCCCATAAACTTTTGCTAATTCAAATTATTTACCTCCAAAACCAAACCAAATAGATCTCGTCGCAAACACATCCCCTGCTAGAACTTGGAAATCCCCAATTCTTCGTACAGTCAAACTACGGTCTTTGCTGAATGAAATCAGTAGGGGAAAAAACAATAAGGAGATCACTGATTTTTAAAAGGCAGCACTGCAGACACTGTGTCACTGGAATATTGTGTTCAAATCCCCCAAGCACACCGCGTGCCATGGTGCTGGATGTGAAAGAGGCTGCACTATGGGCTTTGGTATAGAGGGGATGAGTGAATGCATCCTCCTTCATGTCTGGAGCAAGACTGCTGCTCTTTGAAAGCAATAGTTCCTTCCCTGTCTGCCCCACATCTCACTGCAGCAGTGTGTTTTGGAAGGGCTCATGGTATATATGCAGAAGGGTGGATACAAGCCTTAACAGTGTCACCAGAAAGCTTTCAACCCCGCTTGCCATTTGGTTTCAAACATTGCCTGTGGGAGCTGGGCAGGCCATTCTGTGCCCATGGGAAGTCTGGGCGAGAGCTGTGGCTCAGTGGAGATCCCTTCCTGCTTGCCCAGGGTGCAAGCCCACCGTAGGGGCTGGGTTAGCCCAGCAGCTTCCTCTTTAAGCTTGGGGACCATCACGTCCTGAATGCAGCCCAGCCTAAACAGAGATGCTGCACAAAAAGGTGAAGATACAGAAACACTTTTGACACAGGGGAATTTACTTTGTATTTCAAGCTGGATTAAAATTACACTGGTGTCCTGAGCAGACGGGGTAAAGCATGCTTTTCTGGAGGAGTAACTTTACGCCACAGTAGGTGCATCTACATGAGATGCTAGCCGAATAACACTGCGCAGTACTGTGGCGGGCAAAACCTGTGCTAATATGCTACTGTGCAGTAGTATTAGGCTACGGCGCAGTTAGCATCTATAAAAACCCATGTGCCGGCACTACTGCACAGGAGCGCCAGTGACTGCACGTTGATTTAATGCTTGGTTATGCAAGTACTAAACTTAACATGCAGTAATTACAGTGCATTAATGAATGTGTAGATCAACCCAGTAGGTCTCTATGCTGTGCATCCTCTCCTCTTTTACTAGGGAATACATTTAATTTACTCCATGCATTTACTACAGATTGGTACTAGGACAAAACTTTGGCTTTAGAGCAGGTGACCTACTAGATCATTGCCTACAGAGCCATTTTCTTCTTGGCTGGGTGCAGATGCACCCAAGCTGGCACTGCACTAGCTTGAGCAGGCGAGTCATGGTAGGGGAGAGCTCCTGGCAGCCTGATTTACCAAGTTTTTAGGGCAGATTTTGCAGCTCACTCTTTTCCCTGCTGATGTGGTTATACTCTTACTAGGGCCTGAGCTGGCTAGTTTAAAGATCAATGCAACAAGGTGGTCACCTCTGTGACAGCAGCCTGGGCATAATTCCTGCTGCAACGGGACAGCTCTTCATCCTTCCTGCTCCAAGGAACTGAAGGCCTAGATTATAAGCAGACCTACCCTGTATCTGGCCCGAGAAGGTTCAGCCTTTAATACTCAGTTCTTGAAATGCACACTAGAAAATGACTGAATGAGACATTTATGCTGAAAAATTAGGAGCAAACATCACCAGGCTGGTCCTATGGACATGCTGGGGGGCAAAGGGGAGCACGGCCTGGGAAAAGCCTGCAGGATGAGAGGTGTCACGACTTAAATTATACAAGAGCCGAGACCTGCCAGCATTGCGACACTTCCACTTGCAGATAACGAGAGGGCTAAGCCAGCGCATGAGCGAGCTTCTTGCAAACCCGGCAAGATCAAGCGTCTTAGGTTTGTGATTGTTCATCCGGGTCAGCGGTTCAGCTCTCCGGCCGATTGCCAGCCAGAAAGTTACCTAGCAACCATGCCAACCGCTCGGCAGATGTAAATATATCAGACAGTAGCTACCATCCAAATTTTGCTCGTGCGAGATAAAAGCTGAAAAACCTGGGGCTATAAACAAGCTGTCCCCTCCCTGGGGACCAAAATTAAGAGCCAGGAATGGGTAACGGGCACCGAATGTTACCCACCCGTATGACGTGGCTCAGTACTGGAGGGAGCCCGCCATCACCCCGAGGCATGGATGCTCCCGTTCCCATGCAGAGCTCCAGTGACTTAAAGGGGGTACTACTGCAGGGCAAGACCCCCCCACTTCTAGCAGGTGTTTAAGGTTTTCCCCTATCACATTAGGCTCCAATATCCCACTTTCTCCCTTCTGGCTTTCCAGGACTTGGCTCCAGCCCATAGCTCTGATATTGCCACTGGTGGTTTCCTCCAACAAGCCCAGCTCGGGTGCATCTTCACTCTCCCCCTGTTTCTGCCATGCTCGTCTCACCCCAGCTCTCCCTGCTAAGCCTGAAGGTGCTCTTCCTTCCTTCGCTGTCTGCCCTACCAAGAAAAGGCCTCTTCTGAATTTCTCAGCATGCCTCATTTTCTCTCTCCCAAAGCCATTGCATTTTGTGTCTTGTATAATCATCCTCTGGATGCTGCTTAAATGCCAGCAACAGCCTAAATGTTCACTACAGCTGCCCAGTGGGTTGCAATATTCAACAACATCCTTTGTACTTCCAGGCTCAGAGGACAGCTAAGCAGGTCCGGTGCTTAACTCTGTTTAGGTCCTTTTAAAAATCCTGCTAGGTGCCTTTCTGCAGCTTTTAGACACATACATAGATGTGATTATCAGTCGTGCATCTCTTGGGTTCAGTAGGAAACAGAGAAATGGGGCTGGAAGTGAGCCCCAGAGGTCATCGAGTCCACCCCCAGCCTGGGGCAGGACCACCCCTATCCAAACCACCCCATGCAAATCCTCTCGAAAGGTACGACTTGACAGGAGCAAAGACATCGCCATCTGCCCCTACATGACTTTAAGCTTCACAAGTTGCTTTATTCACCTCCACTCATCAGGTGGGATGCATGTGCCTTTACCGAATTGTGGAACATTAGTCAGAGCAATATGCACTGGGATACGCTGTGCATATCTGGACAAGCCTCCTCCTATTCATTTGGATGTCATTGACCACTTGGAAGTGAGAACAGTTGTGATAAACTACTTTATACTGGCAGGTGTACAGCTTTATACTGGCTACAACCTATACTTATACTGGCCTGCACCTGCCCGGTAGCTGAATTAGCGTGCTCGGTGCTTCAGAAGGAAACGACCAGCACGAGGCATTTTCTTCAAGTCGCAGTCAGAGCCCGTTGGGTCTGTTCTGGATGGCACGTCAGCAAAACCTGCTCCTACAGAGAGGTGATTATAGCACACCTTACCTCCTAGGTGAATCTCAGCTAGTGAAAGTGGATGCAGTTGAGCTGGGATTGGAAAAGCTGCCCCCATCTCTGTCCTGCAACAAGCCGTGGTGCCCAGGGTCACAGCACACCCCGGGAACAGCCCCGCTAAGTCAAGCAGAATCAAAAGGCTCATTGGGAGGAAGTCGGACCAACAAAACCAACAGGGCAAAGCCCCAGGGCTGCACAATGACAGCTTGATGAGCTGCAGTGTCCCCCCCACCCTCCTCAGCTCATTAACCGGCTGCCACTTGTCTCATCAAGAGCAGCTCGTTCTCCCCTTCAAGAGAGGCAGGGATTTCACCACACCAGTCCCACCCCCCAAAATATATTCCCGATGCCCCAGTTCATAGAAGTCACTAGAGGTGGCATCCTTGGAAGGGCTTGATCCTGCCGGGACTGAACACCCTGGGTGGGAGGAGGGTTGCCCAGGACCTCACCGGCCTCTATAAAGCTATTCCTCCTTTCCCGTACTCCTGTCCAGCTTAACTTAACGATAGTATAGTAGTGATTGCCGTTCCTCATTTCATCTTGTAGCATCCCTTACCCACGGAAAGCGAGTCTTTCCATTGCTACCTACACCACATGGACCAGAATCCAGTCCCCTTCCCTCAAAACGGATCGCACTTGGCACCACAAGCAGCTGCACTGAAAGGAGGCGCCGTCGATGAGCAAAGCGTGAACAAGGATGGCAGAAACGTCTGTACGAGTCAAAGATAATCACTCGCATCTCATTACAGCCCTAGTTCAATTAGATGTTGCTCTGAACGAAGACGCAGCACTAAGCCGCTACAGAATTTGCCACAGAATTTCGTTCCCTTAAAATTACTGTAAAAAGCACATGATGGGGTGATTTTGGCACAGGTTTTGCTTAAAGCGTAGGTATAAGCGTCAGTGACCCTATTAACCAAATCTACCTCTGTCCTTTAACGACTGTGCTGACAGGAGGCCGTGTTCAGCTGTAAGGTCTTTTTAATTCTGGATGTTAAGAGTTGCTGACGTGGGTACGCTGCAGTACTTGTAACGCTGCTCTCTTCTCACAGTACTCCATGGAGGTCTTGCCAGAGAGCAGTGAATTTGCTATCGATGAGACCGGGGCAATTTCTACAACAGCCTCTTTCCATCTGGAAGGAAACGAAAATAGGTGAGAATAAAGGTGGAAATGACAATAGCATTGGCCAAAGCCTTTTTCAGCGTCCGGTCTTCTTGGTCAGTGTCTTGAGCCCAAAGTGTTGGGCTGTTTGTTCCCTTCTTCAAAATCCACTCAAGCACTTAAATGCCTACATGGCCGGCCCTCTGAAAACAGCTAGTACAGAGAAGTGGGAGGTTGCCTCTTCCTGATATAGGATTCATGTGCCCTGTGTCTCAAAATTCATCTCAGGGCAACTGTGCCTAGCCGCAAAGGTTAAATGTTTAACTTTATTGGTGAATGTTAAAAAGGGAGTGAAAATGTTTAAGGGGTAAAAGGAAGTAGAAAGACCCGCAAGAGGGGCTGCATTGGACAGGGGGGTGGCCACTAAGTTGCATCCTAAGAAGGTAGCCTACTTAGCCCAGGGGGAAGCAAGCCCGGAGACACCTTTGCCATCACCAGAAAAGGCACTAATTAATTTAGTCCCAAGTGTTAAAAGTACCAATACAGACTGGAAAAAAATGGATTTAAAAATAGCTGTGATCTGTGAGCAATGGGAAATGTCCTGATCTGGGGAATCACAGATGCAGAGACAGATTAGTTTTAAGGGCAGCAAAGCAAACCTCTCCATCGAGTCTGACTGCCTGACCTGCAGACATTCATCCCAAACCTGTGCAGAGTTTTGAGCAACAGCAGTGACATCCCTTCTCGAGCTAAAGACTTTAAAGCGATGGCACATTTTCCATTTCCCATGATGAGCTGTTCTACTGATTTGTTGCCCTCGCTAATAAAAAATTCTGCTGTTATCAGCTCCGCTTCCACCCCCTGGATCTCGTTATACAGAAGAGGGAGAGGTGGCAGCTTGAGGTGCGTGGCAGGGGTATCGGGAAGGGTCAGTACTTGGCTTTATCTTGGGCTGCAATGGCTCAAGATCCGGCAGGCAAAATCCCTGATGCAAAAAAAAAATCCAAGCCTGCAGAAGAGCTTTAAACACATAGGCAGGAGTCCTGCCACGGCCTGCAGGTTTTTATGCTCAGTTTATACCCAGTGAGAACAATAGTCAAGCTATATTAATATTGCAAAAATAGCTCTTTCACTATAAATGTACTCTGTAGGAGAGTTCTGGTGCTTTAAAAGGAATATATCATGCAGCATGACAGACTTCCATTCTGCAAGCCTATTAAATAGTTGAGAACCACTCCTTTTCCAAAACTGGTTTTAATAGGAAAACCCTCTTTTTAAGGTGACCGCTAAATCTTTTCTGAGTTCGCTCACTTACTCAGCACCTGAGAACCATGATCCATAAAAAAGCCATTTGCGCTTGCTGTATTTTCTGTCAAAAACCCCTATTTCAGTATTTTCCTTCCCAAAGAGCAACTCTTGGGTAGACTGAAACTTTTTCCCCATGCTGACACCACTGCTCTTTGCAAGACAACCAGATGCAAACCACATTTTCCTCTCCCCTCTTGCATGCCTCCTTACATGTGTTTCACTAGATACTGCATCAGGGTTTCCCAGTCTAAGGAGCATGGGAGGGGAAACCCACCATGCCAGACTGAGTTTATAAGCAGGGATTTAGTTGTCTCTGAGACTGGCAACTCAAAGGGAAGTTGGTTATAGGGGAAC